TAACAGTCACAATGTGGTGAGAGTTGTCTGTTAACCAAAATTGGGGTGGACAGCAATTTACACGTCAATGTTTACGTCCAAAATCTTGGTCATCAGAAGAAAAAAACACAATAACAAAAACTAACTCAACAACCAATCACAGAAGATTAAGCGTGGGCGGATACGATTAGCAGATATTATGGTCTGACCTTCAAAGAGATAACGGCAGAAATTTCAGCGAGAAAACAACCAATCAGAAGACGCTGTTTCTCTACTAATTATATATATATATATATATATATATATATATATATATATATATATTTTCATAATAAACGATCTGTTGCCTGTCCCTTGTCTTCTGTCGTTACATTACTATTACTGTTTACAGTTAGAAATTATGTAGGGCTCTATGAATGTCCACTGAAAGACTGTATACTAAGTTATATCGGAATAAAATTCATACAAAAATGAATGGATGTCAGATGATAAGGGATTCGTGTTTGTTGACACTGTCATCAGTAAGATGAATCTGGAAATGTGAAGGAATTGATGTCTCCTCTGAGATTTGAACTAACATCATTTAGAATTCCAATCAGAGATGTAACAATAGAGCAATTCGGCTTCACCATCGACTTCTTGTAGGACTATCTGGTGGGTAAATTCATTAGTCAAATGAGTTCCACGAAAACAACAGGTCTTGGAGTAGTCAGAAAATGTGATAACCAGAGAATATTCGTGATGATTTCGTGCTACATATGTCAGACAGTTTAAACATGAATGTTACAACTAATCCAAAGAAATATTAAAACAATTTTAGAGTAACAATTACAGAAAGAAATGAATCTGGTTACTTGATGCAGAAAGAAGTTAATCACGAATTTATCCAGTAATAATGTATAAGAATACGTGTTACTGGTTCAACAGTCAAATACTCTTCAGCCATACGGAAGGCTTCGATTTCTAGCCTACATATACTTCTATTATATTATGATTATTGTTCCCTTAGGTTCCTAGTGGAACATAGGGCTTCAACTACACGTCTCCACTTCCTTCTGTCTTCTGCTGTACTTTTCACCTACATCCATGTTAATCCATACTGTTTCAACTCCTCTTCACACGATCTCCTCCATGTCACCCTAGCACTGACGTTCCACTCGCCGCTTCCCTTTCAGGTTCCACTCGAGCTATGGCCTGACGCATGATGTCACCCAACGGCCTCCTCATCGAGTGTCCAATCCATCTCCACTTTCTCCTGCATTTTTGTTGAGCGATTGGTTCTCGTTTTGTTTGTTCCCATATTTTCTTGTTGGTTCTTGTTCTTTCCGGCCATCTGATCTTCAGTATAGAACGAAGATAGTTAGTTGTTGATAAAGGTCTGCAACAGGCTGTTGGAAATATTCTTTGTGACCCGCCAACTTTCTGATCCATACGTATAGAAGAACTGACTGACTTCACGTTTGTATTGAAAATCCGAATTTTGTTGTTGAGTGTTGCTGAG